GATGTCAGGAGGCAGCAGGAGGCCCATGGCTGTGCAGATGGGTGTCGGGGCACTTCTGCCTGAGGGCCTGATGTGCCACTTTCAGACATGTGGCTGGTGTATGTGTGTGTCATTTTAACTGTGAGCCACTGACATGCAGCTAGAGCAAGTATTGATTTCAATGTCATTCCTGTTCTAATACCTAACAGAGCTTGAACATAGGTATCTCTTGCCTATCAGAGAAGCTGAAAGGCCATGAGAAGGTGCATGCTTTGGAGAATGAAAACAACCTTGCTTTTATCTTGTTAGATGCTAGGCCTCAAGGAGGGTGCCAGGTTTGTACGTTCTTATAGAGCAGTCTATTTTGCCTTAGAAACTCCAAATCCAGTAGGAAGCAATGGGCTTTGGTGGAGACTCCGAGGTCACTTCTGCCTCTGGAGCTGATAGGCCAGAAGCAGGAACATGGCTGGGCAAGGCACTGGGAGGTCCCATCTTTCTGGAGTAGCTGCCAGGTCAACCCTTGCCTCCTGGCTGGCAGATGGGCTTTTAGGCTCACATCTCCCACCTTCTCTCACAGACCAGCAGAAAGCACCTCTCTGGCATGGTGCTTGTGTAATGCCCTCTGCCCACATATCTGATAGGTCCATTGGACCTGGTTGTGTGTTGTCAAGTCTCTTGTGCCTGAGTACATGACTGAGGAACAGCAGGCATGTGGCTTGGTTGTGTCTATCTGAGGAGCTGAAATCCTAGTAGGAAGTTCACATGGCCTGGAAGATCATGGTGAGGTTCCATCTGCCTGATCAGCTGACAGGCCAGAGAAAGTCTAATGGGTTAGGGTGACTGTGTGAAGGTTAGTTTCTGAGATGTTGCTATAAGGTAAGGGAATGTGTTATAGCGTGTGAGGTTACCTGGAGGGAATCTGTTATCAGTCCATGGGTTTATGTTTCAGGGCACAAGTGGAGAGGGAACAGGCATCAATGAAGGTATGGAAAGGTCCAGGTGACAACAAGGTAAGAACGCAAGATGGGTATTTGTAGCCTGCAGGAAAACAGAGACAGGTTTGGTACATCATAGAAAAGCCAGTGGTGGAGATTGCCAGAGCACTGGCAAGGCAAGACTTAGCCAAGAAAACCAAGGTCTTTGTCCCCAAGGCAGGTCTCTCTGTCTCCAAGGCCTAGGAGGAGACATGTTGTCCTCTTTGCACTGGGGGGGCTTATCTCTTCTTTGCACCTTCTGAGTGAGGCCAGGAGGTGTCACACCACTGTCTTTCACTTGGCACTGCATACCCCACATCCCACTGCCCGAGGAAGAGCCCAGAGACGCAGGTGAGGACAGGACCTCTCTGCCCAGGGCAGGCAGCAGGCCTTGGCCTTTCTGCTTGATGAAACAAAGAGAGCATTTTCTCAGCCTCAGAGCCACCTGCACAGGGCCTTGGCCTACCTCTAATCATGGCCTCCAATTACCTGCTCTAAGGAGTCCATGGGGTTTTGTTGGTAATAGACTTCAGAGGGACCATTCAGTGCGTTGAAGGACTTTGGGGTGTGTCTTCTAACTTTGGTTTTCTGAGAGATCTCATCAGTCTCCTCTCAGGAGCTTCTTGGACTTGGCACAACTACTCTTGTCTAGTAAGACAGAAAAGCCCTAAGAGTCTCTTAAGGGGGTCTGGACAGGTAGAAGTTTGACACTGTATGACAGCCTTGCTGCTCACCTCCTTGCAACATTTTTCTCATTTTACCCCTAGGACTTCTGTCACTTCTCCTGACATCAGGCTTCTCCACTGAAGTTTGCACCTTATATCTCCTTTGCCCCAACTCCCTCCTGCTTCACTTAGAGAACAGGCTGCACAGAGGTAGAGAAGGATAATTCTTAATTGCAAGCAAACTATAAAAAAGTATGATGAAGCTTAATAATCAATAAAACATACTTCTCAATTGTATGCTAGCTCCAGGAAGTATCCAACGAGGTTCACCTTCCAAAATGGATAGTCTTATCCTCTTTTTTTTCTTTTTCTTTTTTTTTTTTTCTTTTGCAGTATATAGATGTGAAAAAATATGTGAAAACAGTTTCAGAATTGCCTAAAGACACCAATAGAATACATAAAGGAAGTAAAAGCTATGAACTTATGAACTCCCTGAGGCTTAAAGCAGCAGCTAGATCATAGCATGACAGAGTCATAGAATCTTAGAATCAAAGAATGATACAACCTCAGAATGATTTGGGCTGGAACAGGATTCGAAGATCATGGGCAGAGGCATCTCTCACTACATCAGGTTTCTGAAAGGACCTTCAACCCAGCTTTCAACACCTACAATGGCGAGGCATTCAAAACTTCTCTGGGAAACCTGTTGAAGTGACACACTATTCTCATCCTAAAATCTTTCCTCCTTATATCTATTATTATATCTACACACCCTTTCAGTTCAAAACCATGACCCTCTGTGCTGTCACTACAGGCTCTAATAAAAAAATGTCTTTCTCATAAGCCCCCTTGAAATACTGAAAGGCAGCAATAAGATCTCTCTGGAGCCTTCTCATCTCCATGTTGAACAACAGCTACACTCAGCCTTTCTTTGTAGGAGAGCTATTTCAGCCCTCTGATTATTGCCCTCCTCTGCATCCACTCTAACAGGTCTATGTCTTTCTTGGACTGGGGGACCCAGAAAAGGATGCAGGACTGCAGGTGGGGTCTCACAAGACCAGATAGGAGGGGAGAATCACCTCCTTCAGCCTGCTGAACTTTCTTCTTTTCATGCAGCCCAGAATATGATTGTCTCTCTCGGTTGCAAGAGCACCTTGCCAGCTTATGTCCAAATCTTCAAACGCCAATACTCTGATGTCCCTCTCAGCAGGACTGCTATCACTATTTTCATCTCCCCAATCTATATTGATATTTTGAATTTCCTTGACCCAGGTGTAGCACTTTGCACGCCTCCTTGTTGAACTTCAGGAGGCTGATACAGGCCCACCTCTCCAGTCTCTCCAGGTTCTTCTGAATGACACCCCCTCCCACTAGCATACCAACTGCACCGCTCAGCTTGGTGTCATCAGCAAACTAGCTTAGGGTGTACTCAGTCTCACTTTCCGTTTTGTTAATGGAGATATTAACAGTTTTGGTCCAAGCATAGGCCTCTAAGGATAACACTCCCATTTTAAGAGATAACACTCACATTTTCAGTTGTTCATTAAGCCATTGACTCTTTGGACATGGCCATCTGGGCAATTCTTTTGTCCCTCTATCAGTCATTCCAGCAAACCCATATTTCTCCAGTTTAGTGCCAGGAATGTTGCAGGGGACCATATGAAATGTGTTACAGAATTCCAGGTAGATGACAACAGAAGCTCTTCTTTTGTGTGATAAGGAATGTCAAAAAATAGAATATAACCACTTAAATCTGTCATGTGAATAAATACATATATGCATGTAGTTATATAAATATTGCTTGCTAATAACTTAAGGCCTATAAAAATACATATAACATTTACTACAATAACTATCATATACCTTTGGTGTAGTATATCAAAGAATATTCCCACATTTGAAGAATAAAAATGGCACCTTAACTGAGTACCTGATACAAAACAAGTACTTTCAGTGAACATTCCAGAGGTGAGCAAATAAAGCTTTTTCTCTGTTCTGTTCCCCATGTCTCAGAGGCTTCCTTATAAAGAATCTGGTTTGCTCAGTGCCAGCTGACAACATCCTTGCTCAACACAGAATTGAAACACAGGGCTTCTTTATCCCACCAGAGATAACAATTTTAGGACTGTCTGCTTCTCAGCTTTCAGCAAACACAACCCACTCTGATCCTTGCTCAATGAACTCTTTGGTTGATGAGGATATTTCTCTGTAGGATTGTGGAAAGACCACATTTTTCTGATGTCTCTAGTTTATGAGCTGAGATTTTCTTCAGATGAGACAGCTGTGTGGGAGGTAAGAAAAGGAAAGGAGCTTCTCTCCATCCCCACCATGGACAAAGGCCCAGATACAACACGTACAACCAAGTTTCCAAACTGCTCAGCTGATGCAGCCCACTGAGGTCCTTGGCAAAGGTATTTGATGTGAAGGGAGGGGTCCGGTTGGAAGACAGATATGATATAGATGAGAGTCTGTAGATAAAAATAGATGGGATAGTCTGGACATTGGTTTCTTGGGACATTTATAATGCCTTTGGTTATCCCTAACGTCTGCATGGGTCAGAGGACATGACATAGGACTTCAAGGTGACTGTCCCCCATTGCAGTGGCTGCAGGTGGTACTAAGAAATGGACTGGGAGAGCTGATGTTCACTTCCTCTCTTTGCCTCTTCCCTGAACACCACTACCAGGATGAGGAGTTCATGTATCAGGCTGGACATGGACTCCATGCACCTACATATCAGCATGAGGCTCCCAAGGTAGACTAGGATGCATGTCTCTTGTTCTTTGCAGCAACACCAACACAAACAACTGTGTCCGGAGGTTTCCCTCTCCTGCCTTTCTGAGAGATTTCATCAGCCTCTTCTCTGGAGCTGAACTTGATAACTTGTCAATAACTACACCTTGGGGCTTATTGAGACACAGAAAGGCCTAAGAGTCTCTTAAGGAGGTCTGGACAGGTAGGAGAAGTTTGACCCTGTAGAGACAACCTTTCTCTGAACCTCTCAACCTCGCACCATTTCTCACACCATTTCTCCCTAGCACTTGCATCACTTCTCCTGACATCAGACTTCTCCAAACTTGTCCTGTCAACAGGGACCCTGAAAAAAAAAAAAAAAAAGAAGTTTGTCTTTCTCATAAGCTCCCTTGAAATACTGAAAGGAATCAATAGTTCTGTCTGAAGCCTTCTCTTCTCCAGACCGAACAACCACTACACTCTTACACTCTTAGCCTTTCTTTGGAGGAGAGCTATTTTTTCCCTCTGATCTTTGCCCTCCACTGTAGCCTCTCTAACAGGTCTGTCTTTCTTGCACTGGGGGACCCAGAAAAGGATGCTATACTGCAGGTGGTGTGTCCAGAGAGCAGAGTTGAGGGAGATCACCTGCCTCAACCTGCTGTTCCCTCTTCCTTTCATGCAGCCCAGGATGAATGGCTTCCTGGGCTGCAAGAGCACCTTGCCAGATCATGTCCAAGTCTTCAAATATCACTACTACCATGTCCTTCTCGGCACAGCTGCTCTCAAACCATTCATCCCCAAATCTATAATGATAGTTGCTATTTCCCTGACCCAGGTGCAGCACCTTGCACTTCTCTTTGTTGAACTTCAGGAGGTTGACACGGGACCACCTCTCCAGTCTCTCCAGTTTCTTCTGAATGGCATCCCCTCCCACTGGCATACCAACTGCACCTCTCAGCTTGGTGTCCTCAGCAAACTATCTTAGGGTGTACTCAATCTCACTCTCCATATTGTTAATGAAGATACAAATAGTATAGGTCCCAAAACAGACCTCTAAGGGATGCCATTCCTTATTCATTTCCACTGGACCATAAGCCATTGACTACAACTCTTTGGCTGTTTCCATCTTTTGTCCAACTAACAGTCAATCCATCAAAACCATGTTCCTCAAGGTAGTGGTAGGAATGTTGCAGGAAACCATGTCAAAGGCTTTACAGAAGTCCAGGTAGATGACATTAGTAGCTCTTTCCTTGTGTGATGAGGAATATCAAAGAACAGAACATAACAAAATAATTCCTTTACATGTGTAAGAACATATAAGTTTGTAGTTATATATATTTTGTGCTATCATGTCAAGGCCTCCAAAGAATATGTTTAACATATTTCTATATATCTCTAATATACTGAAGACTATCATAAACACTTGGTGTAACGTATCAAACAACATTCTCACATTGAAGGAATAAATTGGCACCATGAATGGAGTACCTTAATCAAAGCAATTAGTGAAATGAAATCTCCAGGGATGATTAAAAATAAATAAATAAAAAATAAAAGCTTTCAATCCTTTTTATACCCCAGGTTTCTGAGGCTTCCTTACAAAGATCCTGGTTTGCTCAGTGCCAGCTGGCAGCATCCTTGCTCAACACAGGAGAGAAGAATTGAAACACAGGGCTGCTTTAGCCCACCAGGGATCACAATTATAGGATATATACGATGTGGATGACAGGCTGTGAATAAAAACAGATGGGTTAACCTAGATATTGGTTTCCAGGGCCATTTCTGATACTTCTGGGTATCTGAAAACTCTGCATGGATCAGAAGAGCATGGCATAGGCCTTCAAGGTGACTGTCCTCCATTGGCAGTGGCTACAGGAGGTACAATAGACATGGATTGGGACAGCTGCTATGCACTGCCTTGCAGGTTACAGACAAAAGAATGCTCCTCTTCCTTGAACATCACCACCAGGATAAGGAGTCCATGTATCAGGCTTGGACATAGACCCCTTGCACCTACGTTTCAGTGTGAGGCTCCCAAGTTAGACTGGATGCATATCTCTTGTCCTTAGCAGCAGCAACACAAACAAAAATGTCCACTGGGGTGTCCTGTTATGCATTTTCAGCTAGGGCAGAGGCAGATGAAATGCTTCTCCTGCAGTGGAAGTCCAACATGCGGGAGGAGTCATGGGCATGCTGCCCTGGGCTACTAGAAGAGGCCCCTATGCACCTCCCATGCTGGAAAGAGGAATCGTGTCTGTAAGGAGCTATGGATTCCTCTGCTCCCTTCAGCCTCCAACAAGGCAAGGCCTCTCTGTCTCAGAAGAGCTGAGGCTTTCTACATCCCAGCTCCAGTTGTGCTCCTCTGGCTGCATCTCAAGATTTTACCCAGTATACTGGGTCTGGCTGGACCCAGTTCATTTGGATAGATTTCATTTACTCTGAAGTATCTAGTGCTATGCTGGACCTCATTCTCAGCAGCAATGAGAGGCTGGTGTGGAATGTGAATCTGAAGGGCAGCTTTAGCTGCAGTGACCATGAACTGGTGGTGTTCACCAACTGTCAAGCAGGACAAAGGGCACAGAGTAAGCTCCCAACCCTGGACGGATTATGACCTCTTCATTGTTGTTTTGTAGAGCATCATGGGACAAAGCCCTGGAGACAAAAGGGTCCAGGAATGTTGGCTGTTCTTCAAGGATCACCTCCTCCTAGCTCAGGAATGATGCATCCCAGCAAAGAGGAAGTCAGTCAAAAATGACAGGTGATCTGCATGGATGATCAAGGAGAAACTGACCAAAGTCAATTACAAAAAAGAAGGTGTAGTGGGTTAACATGGCAAGGGTTTTTTAGTGGGGGACTTCAGGAGTAGTTTCGTTTAGAAGAATCCAGAAGCTGTCCCATGTTAGATAAGGGGCTTGACACTGTCCAGAGCCAAGACGATAACTGATGTTGTTTGTGCCTTTCTGAGATCATACTTAAGAAAGAGGAAAAAAATATATAAAAAAAAAAAAAGAAAGAAGAAAAAAGAAAACTGCTGCTCAAAAGCAGCTGGGAGAGAGAGGAGTGAGAAACAGCCTTGCAGAGGCCAAAGGTGGTAAAGAAGGAGGGGGAGGCTGTTCTCCCCCCTCTGCAGAAAATCTGCAGCCTGTGTTGAGGACCATGGTGGAGCAGGTTGTCCCCTGCAGCCCCATATATAGCACGATGGATCATGTCTCCATGCTTCAGCCTATGGAGGAGACCATGGTGGAGCAGGTGGACCTGCACTGAAGGAGGCTGCGGCCTGTGGAAGACCCCTGTCAGAGCAGATACCAGGACGGAGCAGTAGGCTGTGGAGAGAAGCCCAAACAGGAACAGGTGACCTGGCAGAAGCTGCTACCTGTGTGGGACCCAGATTTGAGCAGTTTGCTCCTGAGGGATGGACTTTGCGGTACGGACCCATATCTGGAGCAGTTCTTGAAGAGCTGCTGCCTGTGTGAAGCCCACTCAGATCAGTTTGGGAAGGACAGCATCCCGTTGGAAGGACCCCACGTTGGAGCAGGGGAAGAGAGCAGCAGAGAGGAAGCTCTATAGACTGACCACAGCCCCCTTTCCCTGTTCACCTGTGCTGCTTGGGGGGAGGAGGTGGAAGAGGGTGGATGGGGAAAAGTGCTTTGGGGTTTCTTTACGTTGTTTCTCACCTCTCTAGCTTGTTAGTAATAGGCAGTAAATTTTACTATCTATCTCCTTACTCTGAGTCTGTTTTAACAATCACAATAATTGCTGAGTGATCTCCCTGTCCTTATGTCAACCCTTGAGCTCTTTGCACCGTATTTTCTCCCCTTTCCTCTTTGAAGAAGGGGGAAGGATAGAGCAGTTGTGTTGGAGCTCAGCTGCCCACCCATGTAAAACCACCATAGCTTGGAAGAGCTGATCCCTGAAGTCTAAGCAGCTTTATCCTCCTTGGACCCTCTTTCCCGAAGGGCTTTGTCCCATGGGACTCCACAAAGGAGATGCCCCAAGAAGCCAAAGTCTGCTCTCCTGAAGTCCAGGGTAGTGAGAATGCTGTGCTCCCTCTTTGCTGCACTTAGGGTCCTAATCTTCACCATTTTACAGTCACTGCAGCCCAGGTTGGCCTTGAGATTCACATTCTCAAGCAAATTCTCAGTCATGTGCTCGAGGGTAGAAAGGCTCTGCAGGAAGATCTGGATAGGCTGGACTGATGGGCTGAGGTCAACTGGATGAAGTTCAACAAGGCCAAGTGCCGGGTCCTGCACTTCAACAACCCCAAGTATTGCTACAGGCTGGGAGATGAGTGGTTGGAAAGCTGCCAGGCAGAGAAGGACCTGGGAGTATTTTTGGATAGTTGGCTGAATATGAGCCAGCAGTGTGCTCAGGTGGCCAAGGCCAACAGCATCCTGGCTGGTGTGGCCAGCAGGGCTAGGGAAGTGATTGTCCCTCTGTACTCGGCCCTGGTGAGGCCGCACCTCGAGTACTGTGTTCAGTTTTGGGCCCCTCACTACAAGAAGGACAGTGAGGTGATCGAGCGAGTTCAGAGAAGGGTGACGAAGCTGGTGAGGGATCTGGAGAACAAGTCTTACGAGGTGCAGCTGAGGGAGCTGGGCTTGTTCAGCCTGGAGAAAAGGAGGCTCAGGGACGACCTTATTGCCTTATTAAAGGAGGCTGTAACGAGGTGGGGGTTGGCCTGTTCTCCCACGTGCCTGGTGACAGGATGAGGGGGAATGGGCTAAAGTTGCACCAGGGGAGTTTTAGGTTGGATGTTAGGAAGAACTTCTTTACCGAAAGGGTTGTTAGACATTGGAACAGGCTGCCCAGGGGAGTGGTGGAGTCACCATCCCTGGAAGTCTTTAAAAGATGTTTAGATGTAGAGCTTAGGGATATGGTTTACGGGAGACTGTTACCTGTGAGGTTGGACTCGATGATCTTGAGGTCTCTTCCAACCTAGAAATTCTGTGATTCTGTGATTCCCCACCAGCCCCTCCTTGTTGCTGAGAACGAGGTCCACCACAGCACTTCTTTCCGCTATCAATGGGAGAAGGAAGTTATCATTAATGCATAAAAGGACCTTCCTGGATTGACTATGCCCTGCTGTGCTGTCCCTCCAACAGATACCAGGGTGGTTGAAGTCCCCCCTGAGGACCAGGGCTTTTGAATGTGAGGCTGCTTCTATGTGTTTATAGAGGGCGTCATCTGCTGGTCTTGCTGATCAGGTGGCCTGCAGCAGACTCCCACTATAATGTCCCCTGTCCCTACCCTCTCTTTACTCCTGACCCATCAGCTTGCTGTCAGATCCTCACTCATCTCCAGGCAGAGCTCCATGCACTCCAGCTGCTCACTCACATAGAGGCCACACTGAACTGAAACAACTGAACAAGCTCCCATGGGTTTGTGGGGTGTGTGAGGGGAGCTTCATCACACAAGGATCACCACATGGATCAAGGGTTTCCAGCTGGGGATGGGATGCCACAAATGGATAGGTGCACTGGACAAGGGTACCTAACCCCTCCCCATCCCTGCCTGTGTGTCCTATTTGTTATTGGCCATGAACAGAGTTTTCCAGAGGGAATATTTGCACCTCTCAGTGACAGTCAAACTCTCTTAGGAATAACTGTAATTCTGTACTCAGCCTCTCTCTGCTGTTTCAAAGGGATATTTGGCAATTATTTGAGTTGACTTTAAAGTATGTTCTGCAAAAGTGACTCTTGCTTTGCAGGAGCTGTCAGCCCTGGATCCCCAGGGACATCTCAAGGGAGACAAGAAGTAAAGAGGCAGCAAAGCCTATGGCTGGAGCTGTGCTGCTGAGCTGGGCTGGGCTCCTGGGCCCAAGGGGAGCTCCTGGCAAGCAGGCAGCACTGCAGAGAGACAGCTCTGCCCAGGAGCAGCTCCTCTGCACAGCGCAGCAGGGCTGGGGCACTGCCTGCAGGGGAGAAGGGCAGTTGAGAGAAG